CTTTAAACTCGTGTCCCATCATGCCGCACACCTGACACCAATCCGGCAAGCGCTCATACTTGACAGCAAAGATCTGTCGCTCTCCTCCTCGGACCAGAGATATTGCTTTCTTCAATGGCTGCCGAACATCCAGCCGGACTCTGACTCGATAGAAGTTCCCCTCGAAATCAAACGAAGACGGTTCTGAGTCCACAAACTCGCCGATCTTCGAGGCCAATGCCTTGACTTTGCCATGAAAAGCTATAGGAAGCTCGATGATCCGCGCCCATATCTCAATCATGAAGAGCTCAATTGAGGAAGGCTTTGAGTATCCATCATACGGAGTAATAACCACGGGATTCCCCCTGAAGTGCCATGGCCCTCCTTGCGTGACCCGCTCCCAATCGCCCAAACAATCGAATTGCATCTGAAATAGATTCTCCTCGAGGGTTTTGATCTTGACTGGCCTAGCTAGATCCCATGCAGTCTTCATGTTCCAGAAGAACCAGTACGAGCTGAAGCCCTTATCCATATGGACTCGGGCCAAAATCATCCAACGGAGAGCCTCCTCCGCCGGCTCATCTTCATCCTTGAAGATCACGTCATCGAGGTCGTCTTCCTTCAGGGCCAATTCCTTCATCAGATCCTCCAAGTTGCCTTTTCCTTTGTTGCCTGATCCCGACGAACTCCCGCCAGTCGCCATACAGATCGATCTCCTGTGCCCTTGGCAGCACCCCAAAACCCTAACCGCTCCGACAGTCCAGCCCGTAACCAGTATGAGAGACCTGGCCGCGAAACCTAACTCCGATCGGGTGGAAGGAAAAGGTAGATTCTCAACGTCACCAATGGCGGCGAGAGGAGAGTAAACCCTAGCTAGAGGGAACGTAGTAAACCGGATTCTCGATAGTCCACCGAACTGACGTGAAGTGCACTCTTGGCCGCTCGCTAGAAGGCGCGGTGCGCTGAAGCCCACTAGCCAAGCAGGCCAACTGAGTTTGCTGATTTATAGTTTGAAGGAAAAAAATTATATACTTAATATGCAGATACCATTATACCAATTTCGCATAAAGTCACCATGTGCTTATAGGAAGTTGCCAATCCAGGAGGTATTGAACTTTTAAAGCATAAATTTCCCTCAAAAAAACTTTTAAAGCATAAATAAGACGGCAAAATCACTTCGTCATCATTGGATAACTAAGTTCGTTACATGGGACTGTTGCCTATCACTCTCACGTATGTACTTCATCAAGTTATTTCCTACTCTGAACTTTCAAGGAAGTTGCGCGTAGGAAACAAATGTACAACAATGAAATATACTTCAATCTTTGATTATCTGTGAACTAAAATTTGAATATGACAAAAAGTTACGTGTTCTTAAAAAAATCGCGTCAACTTTGGTTAATATGGTTATTACCGAAACCGAACCGAATTTAAATGGTTATTACTGAAACCGAACCGTGTTTTTATACGAAACCGTACAAACTGAAGTATAAAACCGTACGAACCAAAAACTATATAAACCGAACCGAATCAAACCGAAAAGACCGAACGCACACTCCCAGCTCTTCTCCCCTCTGCTTGTTCGCTTCTGCGGAGAGGAGGAATCCCAGTTCCTTCACTATGGCTAGAGTTTAAGTTAGGTTTTTCTTGCAGTGGCGTTCAGATGAAAGGTAGTGTCTCACCTTCGAGCTGGTTTTTTGGGTTTTGATCCTTCTTGAGTTCATTCATGGACGAATTCGACGGTGCTCCACCGTAGATTACTGTCATCCCAAGAAGTGATGACTACAAGCACTGAACTGGGCAAACCTTGTTTTAGTAAGGAAGTGGTCGTGCTAAGGCCCGACAGGACTAGTGCACTAGAATAACAATTGTCGTCAATCAAGAAAATTTGGATCGGAAGGATCAAATATGTAGACACATAACCAAAGACAAACGAAGATTGGTTCGAAATAGATCCATCGAATACCAGCGTCTACCGTATCCCACGAGACAATGGAGACACACCATCACACGCCCTACAACGCCGCTAAAATGCACCACCGGGGTGAGGAGTGGACATAGAGATATTATCCCTAATAGGGGACATCGCCGCCGCCACATAACCCCAACCGGGACGATCAACCAAACAAGAACGAGAGCATGGCCCCTCTCGCCAAAGAGGGGCCGGCGTCCTCTCCACCTCCACGACCCAAAGACCATCAGAGGTGAGGTGGACCGACACCGACACTGATGGGAGGAGGGAAAACCTAGTCGCATGGGAGTCGCTTCTTGGGGAGGAGGAAAACTAAGGATATGACTAATGCATGAAGACTTCCTGGCTCTCATCGACAATGTTAGGTCGGCTTCGGACATCCGGTAGGGAAGCACGGCAACAGTGCATCGATACCTTGTTGTTATACCAGCAGTGGTCGTCTGGTGGTCCATGAACTTTAATGTAATTTTATTATGTTGAACGTGAATTTTTAAAATAGATTTGCACCCTTCCATGAAAAAACTGACCAAAGGTTCCACTATATTCAAAACAAACATGCAGACTCTGAATCATTGCATCAAGTTTCTTTTGGCGGTAACTAGCACATCAAGTTAGCTGGTTAAAAATGTAGTTGCATAAAAAATAAAGTTATGCCCCGCAAAATAAAAACCCAATCTATACAATGTGTTTAACCATGTGGACTTTTTTAATCAGGATAACCATGTGGATTTTGGTTAGGTGAGAAGTAATCGCAAAGTCATATTGTGCGGTTCCGTGATGTGCCGGTAGATCTAGGTCATCCACTTGTTCTGAGATTCGTAAAAATGTATGGCCCACCTAAATGTATAACACTGGTATATTTCTTGTATTTTTATTTTTAGTCAAATCAATGGCAACATAATGGACCCCAAAGTACACCTTTTGTCAAGGACGGTATGCATGCAAGTTTCTCCTCTCACTCTACCTGCGGCACAAATCCATAGACTTTATTTCCTCTTAGAGAATTTGAATCAACCATATCTTTTAAACTATAGACTCGTTTTTGAATTTTTTATATATATTTGGACTCCTGGCGTCAAGAACTTTAAAACTAGACCAATTTTGGTTACATTTCAAACACATTTAATTTTCGACGTTTCACATTTCATATGTGAAATAAACACATTTCACTATAAAAATCTGAAACAAACCTATTTCACTAGAAATATGTGAAAATAACACTTTCCACATAAACCTATTAAACTCAAATGACACCTTGTGAAACTAATTATTTGGAAGTATGTAACATTTTTATTTCAAAAGAGTAAAATAAGTTATTTCATAACATTTTTTTGAAATGTGTAACAATTTATTTCAAAAAAGTGAAACATCATCTTTAAAATGTGCAATTGAAATATATGTATCTTTATGAAACAAGTCAATGGAAAGTGAAATTTATGTTTTGAAAGTGAAAAATAGTATGAAACCAAAAAGTTAACTTGTGAAACTGATTATTTCCAAATGTGTAACAATTTATTTCATAAGAGTGAAACATGTTATTTCAAACATGTGCAATTGAAATGTATGTGCTTTTTGTGAAACAAGCCCGTGGAAAGTGAAATTCATGTTCTGAAAGTGAAAACAATATGAAACTAAAATGTTAATTTGTGAAACTGATTATTTTGAAATGTCCAACAATTTATTTCAAGAGTGTCAACTTGTGAAACCGATTATATGAACTGAAATGTCAACTTGTGAAACCGATCATTTTCAAATGTACAATTGAAATAGATGTGATTTATCTGAAACAAGCCGGTGAAAAGTGAAATGTAAGTTCTAAATGTGAAAATCAACACAAAACTGAAATGTGAATTTGTGAAACTGACTGAAATCATTTTATTCATAAGGTTTTGTTTTAAAGATTTTTGCGACATGATTTCAAATATATAATTTTTTTTTGAAATCGAAAGTTTGGTTTAAGAGATATGAATGATTTTAAGTTAGCAAAGGTGAAATAAATGTATGCATTAGTTTGAGAGAGAGAGAGAGAGAGAAAGAGGGAATGGATAGCACATGCATCCGTATCCTTTGCATGTTGTATAGCCATGTATTTTCTACTCCATCCGTTCTTAAATAATTGTCTTTCTAGCCATCTCAAATGGACTACAACATACGGATGTATGTAGACATGTTTTAGAGTGTAGATTCACTCATTTTTGCTCCGTATGTAGTCACTTGTTGAAATCTATAGAAATACAATTATTTAGGAACGGAATCTACACTCATTTTGCTCCGTATGTAGTCACTTGTTGAAATCTATAGAAATATTCCTAAATAATTGTATTTCTATAGATTTCAACAAGTGACTACATACGGAGCAAAATGAGTGAATCTACACTCTAAAACATGTCTACATACATCCTCCATTCCTAAATAATTGTATTTCTATAGATTTCAACAAGTGACTACATACGGAGCAAAATGAGTGAATCTACACTCTAAAACATGTCTACATACATCCGTATGTTGTAGTCCATTTGAGATGGCTAGAAAGACAATTATTTGGAAACGGAGGGAGTAGAACAGAATGCTTTGTTTTTTATACTATAATATAGTGTTGCACCAATCTTTAAAACGCAATGGACGGCAGGAGATCTGCCGGTACGAACCGCGCAATTTTCCTGATAGGAGAAGTAATCATCAACAAAAAAAAAATTCCGAATTTTCCAGTCGACTGAGATGTAGAGTCTACAGTACCTTGGTGTACTAGTATACCAGTATAGGTTTAAGCTCGGCCACTGGTTTCTCGAAGACAAAGAGACAAGGAAACAGGAAATGCAATTCCATGGCGCAGAGCGGCGGGAAGAAATTTGGGAGCAGCTCTGATGTTAACCGGGCCGCGAGTCCATCCGTGCACACCATCTTATCACCACCCAAGCAGCCCACTCCCTCCACAGCTTCCATCGCATCCTCTCCTCCAAACTCTCCTTCCCTCCACAGCCACAAAAGCCGTACCTGGAGTTCGCCACCCAAGTCTCACCTCACCTAGCTCCAAGGCACCAGGCGCACCATGGGTTGCTCGGGCTCCAAGGAAGTGGCGGTGGCCGAGGTTGCCTACCGTCCTCCCGCCACCAGCGTCTCCCTCTTCGACATCAGCGCCGTCGAGGAGCCGTGGCTCATCGCCAAGCAGAACGCCGCCGCCGCCAACGGCGACGTCGAGCCAGACCAGAGTGATGACGAATACGAAGACGACGATGAAGAGGAGGAGGAGGAGGAGGAAGAGCAGGACGCCAAGAAGCCCACCGCCGGCGTGGCGCTCCCTATCCTCGACAAGCTCGACGGCTACGAGCTCGCGCCGGCGTCGTGGTCCGAGGTGAGCAAGGCCCTTGAAGACATCAAGCCTACGCTCGACTCCAAGCAAACGACGGACCCCAAGCCTGCCCCCAAGAAGAAAAAGAAGAAGAAGAAGCAGCCAGCTGAGGCACAGGCCCAGCCGGCGGCGCCGCCGCCAACGCAGAAGGAGCAGACGTCCCAGACGCCGTCTGTTGCCGGCACGGGAGAGGCTGCCAAGAAGGCCCCGCCACCGCCGACGCCGTACGCGCGTGGCGCATCGGATTCTGACACGAGGAGGCCCGCGCCGCCGGAGCTCACAGGGCGGCGCGTCGTGAAAGAAAACCCCTTCCTGCTGCGGGACCGCGAGACCAAGAACGCGGACGGGACCGCCGCCGCGCCCAAGTGGCGCCGGAGGGACCCGTTTGAGGGGTATCCCGAGCGACGCCCCCCGGGCGCGAGCGGCGGCGGGGTGGTGCTGTACACGACGACGCTCCGCGGCGTGCGGCGCACGTTCGAGGACTGCGAGCGCGCGCGTGCGGCGGTGGAGACGTGCGCGGAGGCGGCGGGCCTGACCGTGGACGAGCGCGACGTGGCGCTGCACGGGGAGTACCTGCGCGAGCTCCGGGAGCTGCTGGCGGCCGACGAGGAGCAGGGCGCCGGCGTCTCGCCGCCGCCGAGGCTGTTCGTGATGGGGCGGTACCTGGGCGGCGCGGAGGCGTGCGCGGAGCTGGTGGAGAGCGGGAAGCTGGCGGAGATGCTGCGTTGGGCCAGGGCGCGCGGGGAGGCGTGCGCGGCCAAGGACGGCCGCGGCTGCGAGGGGTGCGGCGGGGCGCGGTTCGTGCCGTGCCTGGAGTGCGGCGGCGGCTGCAAGGTGGTGGTCGGTGGCACCGGCGGCGTGGTCGAGAGGTGCGGCAAGTGCAACGAGAACGGCTTGATGATGTGCCCCATCTGCCACTGATGGAGCTCCAAACTTTCATCCATGCATCTGTGCATACGTACACAAAGCAAGCATGTCGTTGCCTGCCGCGATCGTGCTTAAATCAAAGCATGTTCTCTGTAGTATATGAGTAGAATACAGTACAGTTTAAGAAGAACATGGTTTGGCGTGTTGAACCGAAAAGGAAAACTTGGGCGTGTCTTGTGTAGCTTTGGCAATCTGGCTAATTGATGGAGTAAATCTCTTTTGTAAATCTGGTTGTCGGCCAAAGAGAAGAAAATGAGTATGACTTCGGTCGTAGTTATCCTTGTCAATGGTGGTGGTAGTAGTAGAGATTTGGTTTCCTAGAGCTGCTGTGTTGAAACGTGATATCCTTGTATTTATTTCCGACTGATTCTCCTCTTATGTCTAGCCTTGTATAGATTGATCTCTAGAGATATTGTAGAGTTAGTTGGCTTGTCACGCAAGACACCTCTTGTATATAATGTAACCGACTCCGATGGAATACATGTGAGTTGCATCCTATAGTCTTCTACATGGTATCAGTTTTACCGTGATCCTATCGCTTCCGCAACCCGTCGCCGCCGCGCCTAGCCCTAGCCGCCGCCGCGCCAACTCCTCCTGCCGCCGCCGCCGCGCCTAGCCCTAGCCGCCGCCGCGCCCACTCTTCCTGCCGCCACCTCTCCCTCCCAAAACCCTAATCGCCGCCACCGCTCCTCTATACCTCCTGTAGCCGCCGCAGCTCCACCCCTCTCACCCAAAAACCCCAACCATCTCCATGGCCAAACCCTCTGCCTCCGACGCCGGCTCCTTCTCCGGCACCACGTTCACCTCCGATCGCCTCAACGAGATCCACATCAAGGACCATGTTCCGGTCATCCTCAACCTCGACTCGCCGTCCTACAACGCATGGCGCACGTACTTTGCGCTATTATTCCGCTCCTACCGTCTCATCGAGCACGTTGACGGGAGCGTCGACTACACCGACATGAAGGACGACGACGAGTGGCTCGCTGTGGACGCCTGCATCGTCAAGTGGCTCTTCCTCACCATCTCTCCCGGCCTCTTCAGCATGGTGAACTCCCGCGATCCGTCGGCGTACACCATGTGGACACGGCTGTGCGATCTCTTCCTCGACAATCAACTCCAACGCCGTGTCTTCCTCCAAGGTGATTTTTTCACCATGCAGCAAAACGATCTTTCGGTCGACGAGTACTGCACGCGGATGAAGGTTCTTGCAGACGAACTCCGCGATGTCGGCATGAACATCGACGACTCCGTCCTCCTCACCAACCTCCTTCGCGGCCTCCACCCCGACCTCGGCCAGTCCGCCGCCAACCTCTCCCTCCTCACGCCGACGTACGCCAAGGCGGTCACGTACCTTCGCATGGAGGAAAAGCGCCTTCGTCACGCGGCGCGGCAAGCTCCTCTCGCCGCCCTCCACGCTAGCACCACCAAGGGCATCCCCGCCCCTCCTCGCGCCGCGGCTCCACCACCGCCCGCTGCCCCTGACCAGGGCCGCCAGAAGAGGCGGGGAGGTCGCGACGGCCGCGGCCGCAACGGCGGCACCCAGCCCCGCCAGGCGGCCCCGCCCGCTCCTGCTTAAGCCGCGGCGCCCCCGCCCTGGCTCACGGGGTACAACCCCTGGACGGGGGTGGTGCACGCCTACTCGATGCCCCTTCCGCGGGCACCCGCTCTGGGCATACTTGGCCCTCGCCCGGGTCTTCATCAGGCTCTCCTGGCCGCGCCCGGAGGTCCCGGATTCGGCGGTTCTTCGGCATACACCGGGGCCATGGCTCCCGGTGCTGCTTCGTCATCCTCCTACGGCGCTGCACCGACCGGCTACACCTACGACCCGGCGCTACTAGCCGCCCTCCACGCCGCCCCTTCCCCAAGCAACTACTCTGGCGGCGGGGACTGGTACATGGACACAGGCGCCGCTGCTCATATGGCGTCCAACCCCGGTATCCTCTCTCGTGTCTCCCCGTACCCTCTGTCTTCTCGCATCGTCGTCGGTGATGGATCCACTCTTCCCATCACCCACCACGGTGCATCCTCCCTCCCTCTCTCATCATCTTCCCTCCCTCTCCATAACGTACTTGTATCTCCATCCTTAATCAAAAATTTATGTTCTGTCCGCACTCTTACTCGTGAACATCCTATTACTGTTGAGTTTGACAAACATGGTTTTTCTGTCAAGGATGCCCACTCCCGGAAGGTTCTGCACCGATGTGACTCCCCCGGCGATCTTTACCCGTGTGGCCAAACAACAAGCAGTGGCCCCGTCGCCCTCCACGCCGATGTGTCTCTCTGGCATGCTCGCCTTGGCCATCCCGGCGCCGACGCTCTTCATAAAATTCTGCAGACTTTTCCCTTTTCATGTAATAATTCGGCAGCACACACTTGTCATGCCTGTCGCGTAGGAAAACACGTTCGTTTGCCGTTTTCAACCTCATCATCCATTGCTACTTTCCCTTTTGATGTTATTCATTGTGATGTGTGGACATCTCCCGTGCCTAGCAATTCGGGTTTATCATATTACCTTGTCATTTTGGATGATTTTTCTCACTTTACTTGGACTTTTCCGTTGCGCCGCAAATCCGACGTCGCTTCCTCTCTTCATGCCTTTTACGCCTATGTTGCCACCCACTTTCACCGCACCATTGCTCACCTCCAAACCGACAACGGAAAGGAATTTGATAACCTCGCCATTCGCACTCTTTTATCCTCTCATGGCACAATTTTTCGTCTCACATGTCCATACACATCTCAGCAAAATGGTCGTGCCGAACGTGTTCTCCGCACTCTTAACGAGAGTGTTCGCACCTTGCTCTTCCACGCACACATGCCGGCAAGGTTTTGGCCCGATGCCCTCGCCATAGCTACCCTTCTCCTTAACATCCGGCCTTGCAAACCTCGGTGGAACTACACCCCTCATCACCTCTTATTTGGGTCACCTCCGTCATACGATGATCTTCATGTTTTCGGTTGCCTTTGTTATCCCAATATCACCGCCACGACACCGCACAAGCTTGCGCCTCGCTCTATCGCTTGTGTTTTTCTTGGCTACCAACCAAACACCAAAGGTTTCCGTTGCTACGACCCAGAGTCCCATCGTGTGATCGTGTCTCGGCACGTGTATTTTGATGAGGTTGTTTTTCCGTTTCAGCAGGCTGCATCGCGTCCCTCGCCACCTCTGGACGCCTCTCCTCGCAGGCCTCGTGGAGCCCTTGCGCTCCCACCGCCTCGCCGTTCGGGCGCGGCTGCGCCTTTGTCGCGTGCTGCCTCGCCGCCCTCGGCGTTCCCTCTACCGACTCAGGAGGAGTCGGCCTCCCCGGCCACGCCGGGCCCCCGCCTCTTGGCTCTGGAGGAGCCCGTTTCCCCGGCCTCGTTGGGTCGTCGCCCCCCGACTCTGGTGGAGTCGGGCGCCACCCCAGCCGGACCATCAGAGGCCTCGTCGGCTCAGGCGGAGCCGGGCTCTTCGGGCTCCTCTACGCCCACATCGCCGACCGAGCGTGCGCACTCCGGCTCCCTGTCGGCTCTGGAGGAGCCGACCCTCTCGGCCCCGTCGGCCGGGCCCTTGGCACCCGTCACAGCGCCGGCTTCTTCTTCGTCATCTGAACCGGTCGCTGTGGTGCCTCGGTGTCGCGGTCCACGCCCGCCTCCTCCGCCACCTCACCATCATATGGTGACGCGTGCCAAGGCCGGTGTGCACCAGCCGAACCCGCGCTACCACAACCTCAGCGTCACGACCCTCTCTCCGGTTCCGCGATCGGTGCGTTCTGCGTTGAGTGATCCGCATTGGACCGCCGCTATGCGAGCTGAGTACGATGCTCTCGTCGCCAACTGGACCTGGACCCTTGTTCCTCGTCCTCCTGGAGCCAACATCATCTCGGGCAAGTGGGTTTTTCGTCACAAACTCCATCCGGATGGCTCACTGGATCGGTACAAGGCTCGCTGGGTTGTCCGAGGATTTGCACAACGTGCTGGCATTGACTTCTCTGAGACTTTTTCTCCGGTCGTCAAACCCGCCACGATTCGTGTGGTGCTTCAGCTGGCTGCTTCTCGTCACTGGCCCGTCCATCAGCTCGACATCAACAATGCTTTTCTGTATGGCCATCTTCAGGAGCAAGTCCTCTGTCAGCAGCCGACTAGGTTCGTTGACCCTCAGCGGCCGGATGATGTTTGTCTGTTGTCCCGGTCCTTATATGGCCTCAAACAGGCTCCGCGCGCTTGGTACCAGTGCATCGCCGGATTCCTTGGTCTTCTTGGGTTTCGCAGCACTACATCTGACACGTCCCTGTTCGTGCTGCATCGGGCTGATCATGTGGCTATGCTTCTACTCTATGTTGATGATATTGTCATCACTGCCTCCCGCACGGATCTTCTTCGCGACATCATTGGTCGCCTCGGTTCTGAGTTTCGACTGAAGGATCTCGGCGCATTGCACTTCTTCCTCGGCATTAATGTGCGACGTGATGACACTGGGTTCTTTCTGCATCAGGGACAGTATGCTCTTGATCTTCTGGACCGTGCCGGCATGACTGACTGCAAACCAGCCTGCCACCGACGCTGCTCTTTATCGCAGTATTGTGGGTGCCCTTCAGTACCTCACGCTCACCAGACCAGACATTCAGTTCGCAGTCCAGCAAGTTTGCTTGCATATGCACTCGCCTCGTGATGTCCACTGGTCTTTGGTCAAGCGCATTCTTCGGTATATTCGTGGCACTCCGACCTACGGTCTTCGTCTCCGTGCATCCGCCTCAACTGAGCTCCTCGCTTATACTGACGCGGATTGGGCTGGCTGTCCAGACACTCGTCGCTCCACGTCTAGATATTGTGTCTTCTTCGGTGACTCCTTGGTCTCTTGGTCCTCTAAACGGCAGCCCACTGTTTCCCGTTCGAGTGCTGAGGCTGAGTACCGTGCTGTCGCCAATGTTGTTGCGGAGACTTGTTGGCTTCGTCATCTTCTTGGTGAGCTTCGGATTTCTCTTCCGAAGGCTACTGTGGTCTTCTGTGAT